TGACGCCGAGTGCCGTCCCATTACCGATCACCCAAACTAATCAAAATTCTCTTGTTCAGGCATCGGATCTTGCCTCTACATCGAGGCTCCTGGTTGCCATTGTCACCATCAGCAAGAACTCCGGCGACTGGAACCTTCTGAACGACCAAGTGCTGCTCCTATCTAAGAAACATGCCCAACTCAAGCAGGCCACAACGAAGATGGTGCAGACTGTGATGACATTCCTGGATGAGACACCCAGCTTGGAGGTCAAGATGTCTGTTATTGAAACTCTGCGCACAGTGACTGAGGGAAAGGTACGCTGGGAACCATTTGATCTTGACCGAAGTGGCGCTAATTATCGCAAAGATCTTTGTTGAAGTAGAGCGAGCCCGCGTTACCCGCATACTTTCAAATATCAAGAAGACCCAAGGTGATCTCACTTCGGCAGCAGACATCCTGTGTGAGTTGCAGGTGGAGACATTTGGGTCAATGACGAGACGGGAAAAGACAGAATTCATCCTGGAGCAGGTCTCTTTGTGCATTGAGCGCGGAGACTGGACCCAGGCTCAGATTCTCAGCCGCAAGATCAATAAGCGCTACTTCAGCCGCAAGCCGAAGAAGTCGGCCGAGCAGATCGAGACGCTCAAGAAGGAGGCAGAGGAGCGAGAGAAGACCCGTGCGCCTGATGAACCTCCTATGGAGGTGGACGACGACGTCACAGATCTCAAGCTTCGTTACTTCGAACAGCAGATTATCTTGGCCAACCACGATAACAAATATCTCGAGGTTTGCAAGAACTACCGGGAAGTCCTGGACACGGAAGCAGTTGAGAACAACCCAGAGCACCTGCGTGCCGTAAGTAAACCTTTCCATCTTGGAATACAGGCCACCACTAACCCGACTATATATAGTCACTCGCCCGCATTGTGTACTATGTTGTCTTGTCTCCCTACGATAATGAACAATCCGACCTCTTGCACCGCATCAAGCAAGACTCGCGGCTGTCACAAGTCCCCGAGGAATCCCGCTTGTTGAAGCTCTTCACCATTCCTGAGCTGATGCGCTGGCCTATGGTCGCCGAGCAGTTTGGCCCCCACCTGTGCAACACAGACGTGTTCGACGCCGAGGCGAAGCAGTCTACTGAGAACCAAGCAAACCAGAGGTGGCAAGACCTGCGGAAGCGTGTCATTGAGCACAATGTCCGTGTAGTGGCCAAGTACTATACTCGCATTCAGATGGGCCGTCTGACCCAGCTTTTGGATCTGGCCGAGGAAGAGACGGAGAAGTACATTAGTGATCTGGTCACATCAAAGACCATCTACGCTAAGATCGACCGACCCGCGCGGTTGGTCAACTTCGCCAAACCCCGGGATGCCGATGATGTTCTGAACGAGTGGAGCAGCGACATGAAGAACCTGCTAGGTCTGCTCGAGCGCATCGATCATCTGATCACCAAGGAGGAGATGATGGCCCGTATTCAGCCCACTCGCAGTGACATGGGAAAAGCGCATTAAGTTGGGTTGAGATGAAAGCGTGTATGGGACTTGGCCGCGGGGATTACTGCCACCGCGTGTAAAATAATTCGCCGGTAGACCCATGAGTAGTCAAGTCGCAGCATTTACCTTTATAGGACCATACGCAAAACGATCTCGGGCTCATAACAGTAGCAATCATTAAGTCGTTATTCTCAAGGGAGTATATCTGCTACATGTAATCATGGTCTAGAAACTCTAATCTAATCCAGTAAAGATCCAGCTCCGTGTATATACAAAGTCGTCACCCTCAGAATGGCAAATCCATATCATTCACATCCTCTTCCATCTCCTTCCCCTTATCATTCAAGCCATCACTGCGGTCCATCTGCTCCCGGATAAACCGCACAGTAGCATCAAGATACGGGCGCTGACTCGGCAAAAAGTGACCACCAGGATGCCAAACAACCGACCCATCCTTTTCAGGCTCACCAGCACAAGCCTCAACCAAAGCCCGACTCTTCGCCTCCTCAACAACAGCATCCAAAGACCCAAGCACATGCAACACAGGCGTCCGAATAGCCGGCTCCTCATAGAAAGCCCTGTAGCGGGCCCCAGGCGCCCTGAACCCAGAGTAACAAACCGCAAACTTAAGCGGCGGATGCTGGAAGCCCTCCTCGCCGAACGGCGCCGGAATCACAATCCCCCCCGCGCTATCAACGCTTATCCTAGAAAAGTGCTCGAATGACGCCTTGCGGCCGGGCTCCAGCAGCGCCGCGACCATCGCTGCTAGCGCAGCGCCCTGCGAGAATCCAATCACGCCGTCGAAGGGGCCTTCTTCCTTTAGTGTGCGCGCTACAGCTGCAAACCCTTCTTCAATGCCAATGTACAGCGGCGGGTTTGCAGTGTTGGACCGCCGCCACCAGCCGTAGGATTCGATTTCGTCGTCTGGACTGCCTTCCGCGGAGGGCTCGTAGCCTGGGATGTCGGCGGGCAGGAGGCGGATTGGGGCTGTTGGGTAGATGGCGGAGACTTCGTGGAGGGGGAAGGCCTTTTGGATGTGTTTTGTCAGGGCGCGGCTTTTGGCATGGAAGAGGCTGCCAGACTGCGTGTAGCCGTGGAGCATGAGCAGTTTCAGCGGTTGCCGCGTCGAGATTGTGGGGTTGGGGGCCATTGTTGTTAGGGATCGGGTTTGGGTGGTTCTGAGTAGGAGGGACTTCAAATGCTGGGAGGAGAGCGGTGTTTTATACATTAAAGGGAGAGAGTGAGAGACTGGAAGAAAGTGACTCTTTTTCTTCTCCGATGTAGGCACGATAAGATAAGGAGGCCGGAGGGCGGAGTCCTATTTGGGAAGTTCTGACCTTAAACAGCTTCGTCACATCAACAAACATCCAATTCGAGTCTCAATTACTTTCCATTCTCACAATCCAAATACAACTTGACATCATGTCTACTACCAACATCCAAGATCTCAGTGCCAAGATGCAGGCTCTTATCGAGCATGTCTGCCCCAACCTTACAATCCAACCCACCCCGCAACATCTTTCTGAACCCCTTAATAACTCACCTCTCAGAAACATAGAGTATGCTGCTAACCATCTGGAGCAGTGCCTTTGAATCCCACCCCCAGTGCAAGCCTCCTAACACCCACCCAACCATCTTCTTCCTGTACGACTTCGTCCGAAACACCCACAACTAGCTGAAGGCCGTCGACGCCGACAAGTACGCTGCCGGCGACAGCGGTGCTAAGTCCGCCGTGAAAGAGGTCGAAGGTCGCAATAGCTTTGCTAACATGCTCATCAACGACAAGTCTGGCAAGCTGTCCATGATGACCGGTGGCGACCCCTCCAACCCTGCTGATTTCGGTGCGGATATCAAGGCTAAGGCCCTCGTTTTGACTCAGTGAGGGGTTCAATGCTTGATTTTCCTATGCATTCCTACATATACGTCCAAGGGGATGGGAAGGTCAGGACATGCTTGGCCTTCGGTTTCTATCTTTCGCTTCGTCACTGGCATCTCTTGTCCAGCGGCTTCTTGTACGCAAACCTTGTCATGACATATTTACATACGATTTGTATGAAATATGGGTTTCGGTTTCTTTTGGATCCTTCAGATCCTGGTATTTCTCTTCTAGTATGCACAGGGGAGAAGAGGATCTAACCCATGATAGATACCCCAACGCTGTATCGGTTCTATAAATGTTAGCCAAGATAGTCAAACAAGGTCGAATATCAGGCAAGACGGCAAAGCAGATTTATTTCACAAAGCTGCTCGCCCTGAGACCTCCAGGGCTATACATACCAAAGCAGTCAAGTGTTGTGCTCAAGGTGGGGAAGACCCAGGACCCGCTTGGGAAGAGGGGGGGGGGAAAGGGGCAGTAACCACATCCTCTCAAACATCGTCAAACTAGATAGCTCTATTTGGCTCCCAGTTTGCTAGGTTGCTACCTATGTAGGCTAGGACAACGGTATCCCAAGATATCTCTTGGCAAGAAGGCTATCCTGACTATCAACTCGCAAGGACTCCTACCTATGGGCTTGATGAGGCTATGAAACGATTAGAGTGACATCCCCGCCAGGAACGTGGAGCTCGAGTTTTGAGCAGCCCGTCGCTACCTTTATAAGCCGTGCAACTGATTCTTGTAGCGAAATTAAGCTCGTTAAGATTGACATAAAGTGCGCTAGGTCGTTGCTCCAATTTTGGACAGTCGAGAGATGCAGCTTGAATCGATGGATGTATTACAGCTTCCATTCGATCGACAGATTACTTGGTACTCACTACCTTCGAGCTGGACCATCCGTATAGAACATTTGATATGCTATGGCAATCCATATATCGTAACGGCACATGATGTTCGGCAGTATAGAGCTACAGGTATACGTCTACAATTGGCAGCGATCTAAGGTACAACTCATGATATAGAGAGTAGAGCCCAATATACAGTAGTCGCAAATACATTTAAACATTTAACACAAGAAAGCAGAAAAGCAGAGCACAAAGTCAAGCAAGGTGCCTTTTTTGTGCCAGATATCCGGAACTCCCTTAGCAGAATGCTGGTTGCTTTTTTTTTTGAATGCTTTTTGGGGTCGTTGACAGGGTCGGGGCATTCCATCTTCTATCTGTCATCACGCGCAAAGAAAATAAGAAGCCAACGCTGAGATATTAATCATCACCGTGAAATGAGAAAGAAAGAACAGGCAATGGGTGGAAAATAGGATGAGAAATGGGTCCAAAAGGCCACATTCAAATTTTGTCTTCTTCAAGAGGGGATCCAGCACACTGATATAGTATGGAAAAAGATCCATATCACATCATCTGCAGACCGCACCCCCTCACAGACCCAACACCAGTCGAAAAAAACAGTTTAAGGAAAATGTCCATGTGGTTCGGTAGGGAAGGGTGATATTGAAAAAGGGTTGTTTGGTATGTGACATTTTGAAGCCCGGTAGGAAGAAAGAGAGAAAGCCCAGTATATGGAACTGGGCCCGAATAGCAACTCTCTCCCCGAAACACCGAAAACCGAAGCCGAGACGATCAAAAAAAGGTAAGAGGTCAACCCCGGGTTTTGGTATTTTCATCCTAATTTCTCCATGCTAATTCTCTCTTTGACGTTTCAACCGGAACATAACAAGAAAAAAAGTTTTTTCATTCGTTTCTCGTTTACTTGCGGCGGAAAGAGCAGCCCTCGGTCAGACGGGCCTTGCCACCGGTGGGCTGGCAGAGGACGGTCGAGCAGCCGGCGCAGATGACGACGGTCTGGGCGTGCGAGAAGACGGTGGTGATGGTGAAGCAACCGGGGCACTTGACGTCCATGAAGAAGGAGCGGGGCTGGGGCACGAGGGTCTGTAGGCGAGAGGTTCGAAATCAGCCATCATTATTCTCCCAACATTTCCATTTCCTAAGATTCCATATCATCCTGTCGTTCGGTGCCTTTTCCTATTTGCTCCATGTCGATTATCGGAGGTACAGGGCCAGGTCGAATATCCAGGTTTTGCCACTCGTCGGGTTGATATTTTCACATCTTCATTTCGTGTTTCCCTGGGGAGTCCAGTTGTCTCATACCTTAAGCTTGTGCTTACGGGCCTCGGCCTGGGGGGTGGGGTTGAGGAGATCGACCGCGAGAACCTATCGAGGACAGCATGTTAGCGTCAGTGGACGTTGAAGATTTGGAATCGATAATCCGTATAGGTCTCCCATGTCCGTGTATCGCATCGAATAGGGACCAAGCGGAAAATCAGGGCGAAAATGGGCTTACCATCTTGACGAGTGAAAGTCGATCAGCGAGATAGTTGATTAATGGCGCTGATGGCGATGGCCTTGTGTGATGCGGATGAGGTGGTCTTCCAAGAGAAGTCTGAAGGGATTTGGACCGGTTTGGGTGGAGGTAGGGCTTTGTGCCGCTTTGTGCCCTCGCTTGTCCTTATTCGGGAAGGCGGCGAACTCTCAACCAATCACAATCCTATTAGGTAAGCTACTGAGGTAAGCACGGGCTCAATTGCTGGTTCCGTGTGGAGACATGGATTCCGCCCCAGGTAGGCAGTCAGGTGCTTCACCCTTCTTCTACAACAGTCTCAAAACAATGACAATATTACAACTCTCATATTCTATCGCTAGAACGCACTCCGAGCTACTTGCTCTGTGTTGAAGGAAACTAAATTATGTACTGGAAACGTGATTAGCCAGGCATCATTTTGTCCAACGCTCTTTTCAAGTGTCCGACTGATACCCGACTCTCCCACTCAGCTCAATTGAGCTGTTTCGCCTGTGGTAAACGAGGTTGAACTGCGCTTCATCCACAAGCCCATCAAACACTCCTGGTTGCGCCAATAATCCCTTTATTTGGTCTTCTTCGACAGGCCGGTCTTGCGCTCGGTCTCCTCGACAAATGGGTACTTGATCGTGAGACACCAGATATCGATGTAGTCGCATATCGTGGTGATGATGTCAAACTGGAGGAAATCAAGATCAGCAATCGTCGCGCGCAGGGGAAACACAGAGGAAACATACTACGAAGCTACCGTACACACCGACAGCCAGTCCCAATAACCCGAACACGAATCCCACCTGCCCAACACCATACCCAAGCACAGGGGTAGACCACAAGCCGATCAGCGCACCTACGCTGTCCAAAACACCCAGAGCGAGCGGGTACAACAGGACATTTTGATAGGGGAAACTCGTCTGAGTGAGGTGGCCGATGATAATGCGGCCAACAGAGTACGCATTGACGAGACTCACGAACAGCCCGAAGGGAATGGTGTAGTTTTCCAAAATCACCGGCTGCAGGTATAGGTAGGCGGGAATGAGAGTCCAGATAACCGCCAAGGGCAGGAGGCCGTACAGCGGCGAGAAGGGGTCCTGGCCTCGCTGGCGACGGACTTTCATGACGTGCATGATACTTGAGCTGATGGCGAAGCAGAGCATGATCGCGCCATACACAAGATACCACTGCGTGAAGGGCATGTCGTACACCTGGCTTGAGAGGAAGCTAGGCTTCGGCACGCCGATGGTATCCAGCATGGGCTGGTGCCAGAAGCTGCCGCCGCCCATGTAGGCGGTGAATATGTAGACGACGCACAGGGTGAGAATACCCTCGACGGGTCCGGAGATCACGCCCAATGTGAGGATTTGCGTGTAGTACTCATCCCATGTTTGGACGTAGAAGGTCATCGTTGCTGCGATTGTCAGCAACGATCCAAGTGTGGAAGTGCATGGGGAGGGCTGGACTTACAGCCGAATAGAGCGATGAAGGTCATCCAAGACTGGCCCATGTTCATTGCCGCAGCAAAGACCAAGACGCTGAGACCGGTGTTGCATGCATCGACACCTAGTCACGTAGAAACAAAGAATCAGCAATCCATACACTTCGGCCTTTTCCATACTGTCTTGGGAAACCCACTGTGATCAAAGAGCTCGCCCAGCGGGCCACTTTGTCTCGTCCTCCGTCTAAAACGCAGCCAGTATCAGTAAAGCGCCCCTCAACAGTCCGACGGAAAGTGTTGACATACGCCTGCATGCCATCTACGGCATCGAAGGTCTGGTACAGGAACAAGCCAATCGCACAACTCGCATAGACCCAAGGCGGGCAGTCCGTATCCAAGTTCGGGTTGTACCACATAACGGTGAGGAAATTAATTACCACGAACATGAATCCTGAGAGGGTAATCTACCAAAGCGAGCGAGGGATTAGGATCTTTTCTTATATTTTGCAATTGTAGCAGTGTCGCATAGGCAAGACTTACGGCATTGGGTCTTTAGGCGCGCGAAGAGTAAAAGAATAGAGTCAGCCATATTGCGCTGCGTATAGATTCCTTTGAATGGGATGACAGAAGACGAGAGGAAGACCAATGTATCCCTCTCGGTATGCAGGGAGGAAAAAAAGGCACCAGGGCGAGGATGTATACCCCATACACAGAAAATCCCAGGGAACGAAAGCAAGGAGATGGAGTATACTCACGCCATCCCCATGGGGAAGCAGCGAATCACGAATTTGTTGTAGAACGGTTTCAATACAAACCGACTGACAGGCGAGTGGTCGACGCCGGCATATTTGTAGTTCTTCAAATTCGCCAATTCATGTTGCCGGATGTACACCATTCTCTAGGTTGTTTTGCGCGTCTGTGAACGCGCGGGTGTCTATTATCTGGGTACTCCGTTCTCTTCGTTCTGAGCGCGAGGCATATATTTGATTGAGTTGTCGTGTTGCTGTTTTTCGCCTTTAAATACGCGCGGTTCGGGCACTTCTGCGAGTCGTAGAAGTGTGATTAAAGGTCGACGGGTAACAATGAAGGATATCGGAGAAGGTATCGCCGGGAAAGGGTAAAGAAAACGAAGGGGAAGAAAGAGAGGATGAAGAAACAAGAAACCGGGTCTCCGTTAAGGAGGAGCAGCCGTAGACGCGGGTCTATGGGGACTTGATATTAAAGATCGGCGTTGAAGAGAGAAAGAGGCCACTTGGTCGATCTTTTGTTGACTTTTTTTTTTCTGCCGGCGGAGAGATGTGACGAGGTCTTAGATTAGATCTTAGATGGTTCGTCTTATTGTACATGGATATACGTATGTGCAAGTTGGAACTTGACTACAAATTTATTCTTTCGGTTCCCAGCTCGGCCATGTGCAAGTCGATGTCAACCCCTCAAGCGATCTAAGCGTTGCCAATGAAATGCCTCAAAGTATGAGATGGACAGGAAGTGGGGTTATCCGAGGGTCTTCGGGACTGGGAATGATATCCGTGCTCAGCAAAAAATCAACGAATAATATTGAGATAACTAATAAGAGGTCGATGCTTGACTAATGGATTTGACACATGCTTAATGCCTAGGTACACAATACAGAATCGGATGCAAAGGGCCTAGTATCCCCATGGCATGCATCCCGACAGGAAGGAAATAGGGGTATGGGGTAATGGCAAACCTCGGTCAATACACCTCGCGACATCCTGCTCGTTCAAGCAATGAAGATTCCCTGCACGCCAAGATCTGGGGAATCAGCCAAGGGAAAATGTTTCAGCTGGCTCTCACAATTTAGCCCACAGGGCTCCATGGCATAGGGACAAGAATCCGACTCTGCATAGTCTGGATCAAGGGCACAGTCTTGTGAACTGTCTCGGCCCAGCCCTCGACGCCCCACGACTGCTCGCGGCAGATCTTGCGCTCCTCCAGGTTGGCAAACTGCCACAGGTGGTGCACCGTGTTTAATTCGCCGATTTGCACGAACCATGCGCCTACACCCTCCATCACCTCACGACGAGCCGTAAGGCCACGGCGCCAGTGTGTCTCCCACTCTAGCAGGTTGCCTGGGTGCAGTGTGTACGACCGAAGCTCAAACAGTCCACCGAGACGGCGAGGCGGGGTTGTGGGCCAGAACGAGAACTCCTGCATCAACGAAGTCCTCTTGCTCTTAATCAGGCTCTTGAGTTTGCGATCAAACTCACGGAACTCTGGGTGTTGCGAGATGTTGTGAAGAGAGTCGTGGTAGCCTTCGTAGCGCTGGTATTCCCAGATGTGGACTATTCAAGCAAGGACAAAAGTCAGCGCGCAGAAAATGGTTGAGTCATTTGATCAGGATTTACCAAAGGTGTCATTGTCGCCCACTTGTGTCCGCCAGCTGCCTACCAAGTTGACACGGTTCTCCTCGGTACCCGCCATGCGGGGGTACCACTGGCCTACCAGGTCCACGTATTCATCAACCTTGTCGGGCTTGACGTCGTGCATAACGATGGAATGGACGTATTTGCCGCGTGCTAGGACCTGCGAGAACGAGCGCTCCATATCCTTGTCGAAATGTTGACCCTCCTTTGTGCCATAGATGAGCGAAGACAAAGGGCCACGTTTGGCTGCAGCTTCTTGTTGCTGTTCATCCCCTAGATAGCGGTGCGTTGAGAGTGAGCCCAGTCCTTTCTGGTCAAGTGCCGTGGCAGCATCGAAAGTAGGGCAGATACGATCATGGATGCTCGCATTGCTCACCTGTGGAGCAGTGGGAGCGTACTCACGGGAAGGGGTAGATGAAGAAGCGGAAGCATTGACAGACTGACTCTCTTGCTGTTCTCTTTTCAAACGAGCCTGCTCCAAGTTCTCGCGGAACTCCTTCCGCCGTCTGAGGTACTCCTCAGTCGACTGGGCTGTAACATCTCGAATGGAGGGAGCACGATAGGCCACAGCCGACGAGCTGAAGGGTCGCAAGAGTGAAGTCACCGATCGAGCTGAGCGGGCTGCGCGTGGAGCCAACATGATGGTATGTGGAAAGAACAACAGAAGCTGCGCTTGACAATGATGAACCCGAAATTGACAATAAGCTAGGGAGGAGAATCAAGGGAGTGAGAAGAAGAGGGAGAAGAGCGAGAGGTGAAGATGGTAGAAACAAGGTGAAGAGGGGGGATAGGAGAGTGGAGAGGTAAATGCAGGGATCAGGCTGGAGTTGCAGGGGAGTGGGAGAGTTGAAGAAGGGGCGATGATCGGGTGGGTGTGTGTACCGATCGGATCGGAGAGTATGAGAATGTGCAATACCAGTAACAAAAGTCAGGGAGTACTAGACTTGACGACCAGTAGAATTAATCTGCCCCTGTCAATTGATTACAACTTGGAATACTCCAGATGTCTGAGTCAGTACAACGTTAGGAGATGCTGTTGACTTCAAATTGTAAACGGGAGCTCTCATGTGCGGGGAAGGAGCTTCCCCGAGTTCTTGGTATGGAGTAATAGTGACGGGCTGTGCTGGTACCACTTGCCCAAGTTTACAGCTGATCTCACACTAAATGTGGGTAATGATGACATCGCCGAGATGTACTCGATACCATTGGACTTCTGCAAGCCACTGTGCTTACTGTGCTTGGGATAGCGTCCACGGGACACTCCGTACATCGCCACTTATCATCGGCTAGTCATACTATAGAGCTAGACTCCGTACGGAGCTGAGACACGGCTGTTTATTTGTATGCGACGATGCAAATATCATGCAAACAATAATACAAGATCCGACACATCTGCCGCTATGACGTTGTCTGGGCTGTCTCCACGCTGTTGCACATCATATGGATCTACCTAGGCAATCTCTGTATATTGAGGCACTTGTCTGGAGTGTTCTGTACTATGGGCACCCAATAACAGGTCTAAAATAACAAATATCCGTAGATCGGACCATATCCTGCAAGTAGGCTACCAAGTTGGAAGCCCATAGGACAAACATGAAGTGATGACGTTGCCAGACAAGGCGGGCGCCTAAGCCCTTTAGGTAACGGGGACACCGCCCCCGGAGGGGCAGATCTTGACCTCCTGAGGTCCTAACTTCATTATTACTGTTTTGGTTCTGAAATTTTATGAACATGGCGGAATCACTTAACCCCCCGCTGTCTTACGAGGCATCTGCCACCACCACTCATCCTCATGTCGCTACCTCGTTGCCATCCGAGGTCGTCTCGTGTCTCAAGAACTCCCGCTTCGTAAGTACAGCGCCAATAAATAACCAATTCACCGACTGACCTTCCATCGCCCAAATTAAGCTGCATCTGGCAACATGTGATGATAAGACACCCCACATCTCACTGATGTCCTACACCTATCTCCCCTCGACCCCATTCGACCCGCACCCCACCATCATCATGACCACAAACCCGGCGTCGCGGAAAACAAATCACCTGCTGTCCAACCCGCGAGTCTCACTGCTGGTCCACGACTGGGTGTCGCATCGCCCACCCACCCGGGCCCCGACGCAAGGTGACCGCGAGGGCTCCCCACCGCCCGCCGCTACCCGCTCGTCTCTTGCTAGCCTGCTGCTCAACCTGAACACCAGCGCGCTTTCCAGCATCTCAACTACCATTACGGGCGAAGCGCAGTTCTTGGAGTCCGGCTCGGAGGAGGAGTCATGGTGCAAGGCTCGTCATTTGGAGAATAACACTTTCGAGGAGGAAGAGATCAACCTCTTCGGCCAGCAGCAGCAACAGGATCCTAGCGCAAGACGGCCTAGCCTTGGCATTGATACTGACGTGCGGGTCGTTACTGTAAGAGTTACCGAGGGTCGTATCGCGGATTGGAAGGGTGGTGTGCGCGACTGGGTTCTGCTTCCTGCTGAGCAGCAGGATTCTGGGCTGGTCAATGGCGTGCCCTCTTCATAGTCTGAGGTCGATATGCTCTAGTTTCCAATTGGAATGCAAGGAAAAAAGTGTACAGCAATGGGCCTATGATTCCTACCGCATTGGCACTATGTCCCCGATTAGCTCGTATAGTCTTACTTCCAAGGTTGCCTGTTCGATTTAGGTAATTTTGCGCTAGTATATGATTCCCTTCGGGCTGGTTTGTCTAAAGACTGCCAGCTTCTCAAATGGTCTGGCTGACATGATCGAGTAGGAATAAGAGAAGTGAAATCAACACAAATAGCTGTATGAGACTAAGTAGCCAATCTTCAATGCGTGTAGACGAGATCGCAGAGGGCCGCCACTTATCAAAGCTTATCGGAGCGAGCTTGCAGCTTCTCCGCAACAACCGACCTCGTACTCCGTGGAAAACGTAACCGCTCTCCCACAACCTTACAATGCGCTGAGAGATCCAATTCCTATATACCCAACACCTTAACCATATCCCAGCATCAACAAGGCCACCCAAAATGAGACTCACGCACCTCCATCTCCCCCACACAACGCCCTTCAGCCGGGTCTCGCACCTCCAACAAGCCCTCACAACCCGCCTCCTCACGCACAAGAAGCTCGCCTCCCCGGGCTCAATATCATCACAAGAACCGAGTAGCTCAAGCGCCACACTAGCCAAAACCCCACCGCCGCCCCCAGACCCAACAATCATCACCTTCACCCCGAACCCCGTCTACACCACCGGGCGCCGCGACCTCCCACCTTCAAACACAAGCCCACCCTCCACAACAAACCCCCTCTCTCTACCCCCAGCCCTTGAACCAATCCGCTCCCTCCTCACCCCGCACGGCACCAAACCCGCAAAGGCAGAGTACCACCCGACTCTCCGCGGCGGACAGACAACCTACCACGGGCCGGGCCAGATGGTCGCGTACACGATCCTAGATCTCAAGCGACTGGGCCTAACGCCCCGGTGCCACATCCGTGTTCTAGAGAACAGCGTCATCGACCTACTGAAAAGCTACGGAGTGGAGGGGTTTACGACGGAAGATCCGGGGGTGTGGGTGAAGCCTGGGTCAGGATCTGGATCTGGATCAGCATTGCAGCCGAGGAAGATCACGGCTGTTGGGGTGCATCTGCGACGCAATATTAGCAGCTTTGGAATCGGGCTGAATGTCACGGACGAGCCGATGTGGTTCTTTAGGCAGATTGTGGCTTGTGGACTGGAGGGCAAGGAAGCGACTAGTCTGCAGGGTGTGGGGGTTCCGGGTTTGGAGGTTGGGGATGTTGCCGCTGCGTTTGTGGAGAAGTTCGTTAGTCGGGTTAATGCGGATTTTGCATGTGGGGAGAATTCACTGGGGGAGAAGATTGATGAGGTTTATCAGGTTAGGGAGGAGGACTTGCTGAGCAATATCTAGTTTAGAGCTTGTGGTTGCGAATGCTGTGCTTGGATCATTTATGGCTTGTGTCATTAGTGTCATGATTCTGTTGCTTTGGCGTTTCATGCTGTTCGATAGCTCGGCTGTCAAGCTTGTAGAACCTATATGTACGATTGTATGTACCTTGACTGGTGGTTTGCATAGAGAGCTGTGCTTATAGTGCCTTGACTGAATTGTCGGGATCACGACATGGCTGCAATGTAAGAAGCCTAATGACTATGTGCATTTTGAAAACAGCTGTATCGTAAAGTAGTCACAATGCGAATTAGGCCACATAAGGCGAGCGAAAACGAAAGACGGAGAAACGTAAGCCCTTGAAAGTTACCGAGCAAGATGGATGTGGATGTGCTGCCAGCAGAAAAAGCAACCCGGCATCAACTATCTTCGCGGCAAATCACGGTGACATGATACTTTACCTGATGTACCCACTGGGCGGTGGGATAAGGGCGGTGAGGAAATGGGCGAGAACTTCTGATTCACTGAAGAAAGTATCAGAGAAATAATACATAAAAAGCCTAGCAAATCCAATGGAAATATATTTGTATATCATAATTAGGAGGAGCGAAAAACCAACGTCGCTGAAATGCTCGGAACACAGAGATCCGGAGCTATGCAATCATGCAATCAACATAGACCGATTTCTATGCGGTCTGAATGTAGCAGACATAGTCTGCGCCGGAGAAGAAGCAAAAAAAAGTGGAAAGCAAGCTCAAAACACCGAATGCAAGGGGGAATCAACAAATCCAACCGGGAGGAACGTGGGGAGAAACAGAATGAGAAAGAGGGCGAAGGAAGGGGAAAGACAATATGGCGACCTTGCAAAGACGGATATCCAGCGAGTAAACCAAGGCCAATATGATAGACATAGATGGATACTAGCGTGTCAGGAATGGACCGCGAGACATCACCTTACAGAATGATGCACTTCGAACCGGAGGACGAGCTCCCGCCCGCGTTAACCTCGAGGGCAACCTTAGCAGCCTCATAGAAGCTTTCTCTGATGCCGCGATTTTGGACCGCGGAGCACTCTAAAAACGATCTGAGCTGTGCGATCAGGTATAGATGAATTGAAGAGCACTCACCCAAGTACTTCACGGCGCCAATCTCCTTTGCCTTCGCTAGGCCCTGGTCGAAGCTAATGGTGTTGGGGTTCTCATTCATGTCTTCGTCTTTGCGCAGATCGCACTTGAGCGCTGTCAGGACTACGCGCACGCCAGGGCAGTTCTCGTTAATCTCGGCTATCCATTTCGACGATACGTTCTCGAAGGAGTCAGGGCTGTCGACCTATTTATCAGAACTTGTTAGCGTATTTGCGGCGGTATCTGAGAGGGAATCGTCTCTCTTACACTGAAGCAGAGCATGAGCACATGTGTGTCCTCGTAGGACAGCGCACGCAGTCGGTCGAACTCTTCTTGCCCGGCGGTATCCCATAGCGAGAGCTCCACATGTATGTTGTCGACAAAGATATCTAGGGCGCGTGTAAGTTTTGACGGTTGGGGCCAGCGGAGAGAAGTGGGGTAATTATGTACCATGCACGTAGTTTTCTATATTCCTCCGAGGTTAGCAACGTGGGTTCAGGAAATTCAACTTGGGGGGAATGCGCGCATACCAAAGACTGTAGGCTCGCTGAGCACAAACAATAACCAGAGTGAGTAAGCCGCACTTGAAAGTATGCTTTGTAGATAGTAGAATTTCTTACTAGACCGTGGGGAAGAATCTAGTTGTCAAAGTCCGTTAGCTATGCTATCATCATCGGAGACGGGTGAGGGGGAGTTGCGCACCCACGAGTAAACACATTCAGCGCAGATGTCTTGCCACAGGCGCCATCGCCTCTGGGAGAATGTCAGACCAATCGCCAATAATCGGGGAAATTCCAATCAAAACTAACAGCAGCACCATCTTGCGCTGGACCACCTTCTGACGACCGCACAACTGCATTGCGCAATGTGATTCAGGAGACTTGGTGGAAGTAGATGAGGGGGCAATGGACAGTATGTCCACGTAGTATGTGTTGGTTCGTGAAGCAGTATTCGTATAAGAGTTGGGAACAATTATGTGACAGTAGAAGAACGAGATTGTTGTCGGGGGAGGATTCCAGGACTAATTGACTCGATGACATCGCGCACTGAAGGGCTGGAGGGATCGGCGAATAGCGTCAGCCCCCTTCTGGTCCACCGAAGGTTTTTTTTACTTTTGATAATTCGGCTGTTCAATTCAGCCCATTTCGGAACTGTCTCATACTTTGGGTTTGATTGAGTATGTTCCTGGATGTTTTAGTTTAGGTCTTCGGGCTTATACTCCCCGCGGCCTTTCTATAAGGGGTCGATCATGAATAAGAGAGTATCAATTCATATGCAGCTTATGTCTTTCTTGCTATTTTTCGAACCAGGTCTAGAGATTTCTTTGCGCCTACACATATACTAAAAATCATACTTAGCTTTCAATATGCAGAGAAACTAGTACGGAGTAGACTGAGTACAATAATCAACATACCAAGCCCCTGACAGGTAACAAAGCTTCCAAGATACAAATATTTAGGTGAAACTTTAATTTCCTTTCTGCTAGAGATGGAAGTTATCAGCCTAATGTCTGTCACATGCTTGGAATAATTCATGTATGCAGGCGATTGAACAGTCTTCCATAAGTAGATACATCGGATTACCTTCACATAGGCCGGTAATTTGGAGTGGAACAATAATAATAATAATAACAAACCATTCAAGCCTATGAATGAATGAGGGTAGGCATATTGAACAATCATTCTTCAAAAAAGATGAATTGATATTGCATATAAATATTCAACAATGTACGAAGTACGGAGTACAATGTATGTAGTTAGTTCTAAGTACGGAGTACTCTCCTCACGATAGTCAAGGCGGAAGCTCGCAGCTGTTATCTGACCCAGCTTCTCCAACACTCCAACCCCACCACTTTGCGACCCTCTCTATCCTAACCACCCTTCTTCTCTTTTCGACATATTATACGCCCAAGATGTCTGATGACGATGATTTTATGCAGGACTCTGGGGATGAGGAGTATTAGTCCCTTGTCCACTTCTTCCAGACTGAGCTGACATTTGAATCGCAGTTACGACTTCGAATATGAGGATGCAGACGAAGACGAGTCTGGTGACATCGGAATCGAGAACAAATACTACAATGCCAAGCAGATCAAGGTCGACAATCCAGAAGAGGCAGTTGACGAGTTCCTAGGCATAGCGCCCATGGAACAAGACAAAAGCGACTGGTAACTTGTTGGCTCCTAGCCTGATCGCAACAGCTGGCGCTAACTCTGGAAACATAGGGGATTTAAAGGTTTCAAGCAGGCTATCAAGCTGGAATTCAAACTCGGGCGATACAGCGATGTAAGCTCATGTCCCAAGCAGATCTAGCTGTTCAGATACTGACTCCAAACCTTCATTAGACCGTCGCACACTACCGGGAACTGCTCACATACGTGAAGTCCGCTGTTACACGAAACTATTCGGAGAAATCGATCAACAATATGCTCGACTTTATTGAGAAAGGGTCCGATAATGCAGAGGCGTACCAATGCATGGAGGAATTCTACTCTCTGACCCTCGAATCATTCCAAAACACAAACAATGAGCGCCTTTGGCTGAAGACAAACATTAAACTGGCTCGGCTGTGGCTGGAGCGCAAGCAATATGGCCAGCTGGGCAAGAAGATGCGGGAATTGCATCGGGCATGCCAACGAGAGGACGGATCAGACGACACCAGCAAAGGAACATACCTACTGGAGCTCTACGCCCTAGAGATCCAGATGTCCTCTGAAACGAAGAATAACAAACGACTGAAGGCCTTGTATCAGCGCGCCCTCCGAGTGCGCTCGGCAGTACCCCATCCCAAGATCATGGGCATTATCCGTGAATGTGGAGGCAAGATGCACATGAGCGAAGAGAACTGGAAGGAGGCACAAAGTGACTTCTTCGAGTCGTTCCGAAATTACGACGAGGCCGGTTCCATGCAACGAATCCAGGTTCTCAAATACCTTGTCTTAACGACCATGCTTATGAAGTCCGACATCAACCCCTTCGATTCTCAGGAAACCAAGCCATACAAGAATGATCCACGTATTTCCGCGATGACCGACTTGGTGGACGCCTTCCAGCGCGACGACATCCATGCATACGAGGACGTGCTGAGCAAACATCCGGATGTCTTGGCTGATCCTTTCATTGCGGAGAACATCGACGAGGTTAGCCGCAACATGCGTACCAAGGCCGTTCTAAAATTGATTGCGCCCTACACCCGGTTTTCGCTGCAATTTATCTCCAAACACATCAAGATCTCTGTACCCGAGGTGTTGGACATTCTGAGTTTTCTCATCCTGGACAAAAAGCTCAACGCCAAGATTGACCAGGATAATGGGACGGTGGTAGTGGAGAGTGCGAGTGACGTGGAGCGGCTGCGAGCTGTGGGAGAGTGGAGCTCCGCGCTGCGCAACCTCTGGCAAACAACTCTCAACGGTGAGGGGTTGCGTGCAAACGATCCCTCTCATTCCATTTTCCAATCGAGTCTTGGAGACGAGGGAATGCGATCTACGGGTCCCCGTGCACGCAAGGATGGCCGAGGCAAAATGCCAGCCAAATGGTTCTAGGCTTGAAGTTGGGAAGTTGGGACTTTTAAGCGCCCTCCCTCCACGTGTGCATATCCGGCTGAGCCGCGTGGAAAACAAAAGAGCTCTCACCGTTTCTTTGGGTTGGGCTTTGCTAGCGAACAGGGTGAATTCAGACCCGCTATTTAGAGTTGGTCTGACAGCGCTAAAATCACGATAAGATGAACTCTTTATGTTTCGAATATTTTCAATAGTGGATGTAGTGGATGTAGTGGTTGCGTAGGATTGTAGTGTATTATAGAATACTACTGCCTAAGTTCTAAATCCGAGGTCAATTCTTGGAAGTGGTCTCACGTAAGTTAGGAGCTTAATTGAACTTTGCCCGGGTGGAATAGTACATGTACATACTCTTATACCCAGATAATAATAGGCTAGATTACAATTCGACCGGGGAAAGGCGATTCCGATACAAAGAAAAGTAAAAGTAGAAAAAGCAATACTGTTGGGAAGACCAAAGGCATGTGAACACATTTCCCTATCTCCTATAGGATTGCATGATATGCATCAGGTACGGGGCCTTTTCTCCCGAGGTCTTTCCGGTTTCTTTCTCAGAACCATCGGGTCCGACATATTGATTCTCTACCCCGGCATATGAGCTCTATACGCGCCTGGTGGAAATCACAATCACATCAAAGAAAGTTGGAAAAACATTCTCGGCCTATCAAGGATATCCGAGCACCAGGTCGGGTGACAATTCCATCCAGGTAAACCCCAACCAACACCGACATCAAGTATGTAAAATGGTAGGATTATAAAGTAAAATAAAAAATAAAAATAAAAATAAAAACACAACTGACGACATCCCGAAAATCACAGAAAAGGAAAAGAAAGCAAAAACCGACGGGTCTTTTGCGTCAAATCGGGGGCGCTGCACCAATCATGACTGGGCCAACATCAAACGAAATCTCCCAAACCTCAGCCCTGGAGATTTCCAAACCCCGCTTTGGGGGCCTTTTAACCTTGGAGAATTGTTGGTTCCATTCTTTTTTACGCGCTCTTTTTCCTTCTCCCCCCCTGTTATATGTCCAGTTTGGGCGAGTCCGTGGTTAATATGGAGCTCCGATTAGTCCGAAGTGTTAATTGGGTATGGGGTGATAATAAGGGATTTGATAGTTAATCCGATGCATACTCCGTACAGGCAATAGTATAATCAATATGCATATGTATAAACGATATAAAGGAGTAACACATACGTATCCTATCGAATTCCTACGTGTATTAACTATAAGGGTTTGTGGGGTATACGGGGGATTGTACTCCCAATGTACAACTTGAGTACGTACGACATCGAACCTATGTACAACCGTAAAAGTATGTACTACACTTTTATAATGTAGTTTAAAAAAAAGGAAAAATAGAGCGTTTACGCGAGATGTTTGTGTCGTTCGATCAGCATCTTCAGACATCTGTACAGACGTAACTGGGGCACGGTGCATCGTCACTTCATACTTGTGTGTTTTCTTTTCGCTTTTTCCTTTTCCTTTTCTTTTCTTTTTTTCCTAAGATTTTCTGTTTTTAATTTTCCCTTTCTTATTTCCATATCCCGTCACATATAGGGAGGGCACAAGAAGGTTGAACTTCCCTTTTGTTTTTGCTAAATCTCTTGTGCTTTACCAATTTATCCCCTCTCTTCTCTCCCAAAAACTCACCTTCCCCCAAATCTCTCCGACTCCCACTCTATCCAACCTTTTAGAGATCGTCTATCGTGGACTCTCTATTCTCTCTTTGACCTCTCCCGGTCTCACTCGGCAACCCCTCCATGATTATCTCATCGTGTGCAAGGTCATAAGGTAGGCAACTTCCCCGATCGCTCTTATTTTGTCATCGTGTGTCATACACACTCCTTATTTTCTCTTCTTGGTCCCCTTTACAGCCTTCTGCTTTCCCCATTCATAATTCCCCGGAAGCCATATCCGTTCGATCATAGGGGAAAATCAGTCTCCAACCCTGTCAACCTCACAAATCCACTTTGCGGTTCGTGCACCCCTCCTTGAGAGGACCTGGGCCGATTCCAACCGGCTTATAGCCTCTTATGCCGCGTGGAGGTTTGACATCATAGCCGTTTGCCTGACATTCCCCTTTTGATGACTTCCGGATCTCTTCATCGCAAACCTTCTTTTACACACCCAATCAGAGTGGGAAAGCTGTCCTCGAGGCTTGTAGTACACCCCTCCTCTGCCCCATCTTTTCTCCTTGTATCCTCCTATTAGCGCCCCGGGTGCTCATGGGCTCGATTTGAAATCGCCATCAATGACTGTTATCCATGTTTTGCGTCTGGATCGTCATACTGAGACTCTGATAGTAGAAGCCGATCCTCTGTGCTGGACACTGTACAGCGTTGTACAAGGCAAAAAGTGTGAAGGCCGTATTCCAAGGAAATGTCCATTCGAGCTGTATGTCAACTTATTTTCCATTTATACTTGGTCCATCCCCCAGAGGTTGTCAAGTTCTTTTCTAACATCCCCAGAAAACATTGACATAACCACTGCGTGGACTCTTCGACTCCGAATAAGCACAACTTCAACCGTATGCGATGTCCTTATCAAAACCTACCTGGAATCATTTCGGTATTCATCAGCCGTTCTCGGAAAAGCAGAATCCCGTTGGTTTTTACCGGGACTCCCTTTCCTCATCTTTTCTTTCTCCAGTAGCCCTTTCATTATCAGCTGCTTTCTCCCCAATCTCTTCCAACTCCGCCAACATGAATGCTCTCTCGGCCGACGAGATGGAGCGCTTCCAGAAGCTTTCCAATAGCTACCAGCCTGATGTCCAGGTAATTATTTTCCACTGTCCCGGCCTGCAGCAATGGCTGACATGTCGACAGGGCCCCCTTGTCTCAACCAAACAATCTAGCCACAGCATCGCGTTGGATTACTCGAATGCGGATCCTACCCTAGCTACGAAGACAAATGTAAGCTTTGGTGGCTTAAGCCTCCTGTGTTACCACAATGTGTCTCGCGTCTAACTTGCTGCTTACAGGCGCTTGCTATCACCCATCCCGAATGCCGTATTATGAAAGGCGATGGGAATTGTGGTTGGAGAGGTATCGTCATCTGCATTCGACAGGGGTGTATGTCATGCTAATTCTATACAGCTGTGGCATTTGGTTATTTCGAGACCCTCTTCGCCCTCCGAGACACGCTCCGTATCGAGACAGAGATTCGGAGAATGAAGTCTCTTACTACACTTTTGGAACGGGTCGGCCTATCGGATTCCATATACGAGATCTTTGTCGATGCCACAGAAGAAGTCCTCAACCGAACACATGCTGCTATCCAAAATGGCGCTCAAGACGAGTCTTTCCTTGTCGATGCTTTTAATGAGGGTTACTGTTCTGATGCTATCATTACCCACTTCCGAGTAAGTGTTTCTTGCTGAAATTTGTCGCCCTTCTCTTTCCTTATTACCAGACATAAACTGATTGTCTCGCCTTGTAGATTTTGACTAGCGCGTGGATGAAGCTCAACCCGAACCGGTACCAGGCATTCCTTCCTATGCCACTGAACCAGTACTGCAGCTCGCGGATAGACCCGGTGAAAACCGAAATCGATGAAGTTGGCCTTCAGGCACTGATCGACGGTGTAATCGAAGGTTCCGGCTTTGGCGTTGAGATTCTTTACCTCGACCGAAGTGAAGGCGATGTCGTGACACCTCACCAACTATCCTCTAATAGCCCCAGTGGTGCGACCATCCGCCTCCTATACCGACCGTGAGTTTCTTTAGCAGTTAACATGTGTTGCACCGAGTTGACCTTCTACGCAGAGGCCATTATGATATCCTTTACCCAGTCGAGACTTTGAATATGGCACCTATAGTCAACCTCCAATACGGAATGACGTCCGACTACTCCCCCTGGGATCAAGCAGCTCTCGGATTCGACGTCAATTCAAGCTTAATGGCCATTCCCAATCTGATGCAGGACACATCCTTTGGGATGGGCGCTCCCATGTCTCCAATGCCTTCTGTCTCGCCAACCCCCGCCAGTCCATTCCGCATGTCCCCGCAGCAAGACATGTACCAGTCGCCTATGCCAACCCATGCACCCATCCCGCCGATTCCTGTCTCCCCTCCCCCACAAATTGCCCCGCCATCCTCCGCCCCGCCACCAATGACTTCGCTGCCTAGTCGATCATCAGACGGCCCGCAAATTCGCCTGAATCCCTTGGTGATGAAACCGAATCTCAGTCGCTCGTTGCCAGCCACTACCCCTTTCAAAAAGTGAGTCAAGTTATCCACAGTACGATCGGCGTGGTTATTGACTTTTATGTATTAGTTCCCCGTATAACCAAGCCCATTTCCAGAATTCTGACTTTGAACCCATCCATTGGGAACCCCATGAACGACGATAAAATTGCGGGCTGTCATGCATGACAAGAGCGATGGACCTCGTTTCCTTTATCATCTCTTCGTCTTCATAATGATCATCCTTGGTAATTGACTCGACTCATATCATGGTCTGTCAAGCGGATTAGGCCAGCACATCTCACTTTCAAATTCCTTTTGATGAAACGCACCCTCTTTCGTGTCTAGGGTGTTCAAATTTTCCCTCTTTCTTATGCCCTTCCTCTTCCTCTTCTTCTCTTCTCTATGATTGTCCTCTTTAGCGTGGTGCAGCGCGTTGCATGGTACGAGCGTTCTCGCCCAAATTGTTTCTTTTCTGCGTCTTTCTCAATCCTCGGGGTCTGTGTTCCTTTCTGTTCTCTATTTTTCTTCCTCTTCATTTTTTTAGGCTCTGGAACTGCAAGAAACAAGAAATGCATTACTATTGGACCATATCTATGTGTCTTCTTCACTTTAGGTACACGGGTAGAATGTAACCCTGGAAGGTTGTGAGAAGGGGTACTATCTACATGTAGTTTTTATAGACTGTCGTAGCGGTCCTTCTTATCTACCTGATAGAATATTTCATAAATGGCGGGACATTATCTTGCCCGATTCGTGACGGTCTGCAATGTTGGAAAGAGGATTGCACCTTAAACCCCAGCTATCCCCCGAGCCCAGATTCGCAATCCATACCAGAGCCGGCTAGATGCGTGCTCGCCTCTGTACCTAAAAGCAGAGCAGGATCTTTTGAACACTGGTACTAAGTCAGGCTACGATCGACGAATTTGAATCAAATATTCATGTTCGTACTTTTGGTGCATTTGGTAGAGATTTCATACATTTCGGCCTTCCATTTGATTGGATATCTTTTAATCAATAATTCTTCTAACGAAAAAGTACTAAACTCTGAATTTTAGTTTATTATCCTAAAGACAAAAGGACTTGATCCTCAATTTTAACGCATGGAGATTCCTCGGGTGGACGTCGGTCGAATGTTGTGACACTTCTACGACATAGAAACCTGTGCAATCACTTCCCCCTAAACAACCCAATCACTGCATTCGGAACCGCCCTGAGAACCTGCCATAGAACGTAGAGAGTATCACTCGTCGCAGAACTAGCATACGCAGCAGGACGGGTAGGGATATCCGCAGCGACGAGGATCGTATTCACCAGAGCGGCCGGGTAATTTTCACGCAAGTACCCAGCGACCAGATCGTGTCCGTTTGTAATTCCACCTACAATCGAGTGTCAGCATACATATCCACTTCTAGCTTGAAACCCGAGCTCAACTCAAAAGGAAAGTCAAAGAAAAAGAAAAAGATAGGGAAGCACATACCACTAGTCCACAAATTCCCATCCCTAGCAACCCTAACCGAATCATCCCACAACTTCGCCTCGGGAAACCTCCTCCTCATCTCAGGAATCAACAACCGCGGCGCAGTAACTTCCCGACCCTTCGTAATCCCAGCGTGTCCGATAACATAAGCCCCAGTGCAGATACTCAGGATCGGCACGCCGGCCGCGAAATGCGCGCGCACGAAGTCGAGGTATTCTTCAGCTGGCGGCATGGCTTTGGGCGGTGGACCGGGGATTACCACGATATCTAGCTTGCCTGGGGAGACGGCAGAGTCTGTGAGCGAGTCGGTCAGTTGGATGGACATCTGCGCGGTCGTCTGGACCATTTTGTTTGGTCCGTCGTGGGCGATGTAGTGGATCTCGCAGGGCCTGCCTAGGTCCACTAGTGGCTGCGGGAGTGAGCATTCTTGGAGGTATTCTGGCGTTGTCATGTAGAGGAGGTCGACGGCTGATAGGTCGAGGAGTTGGACGGTTCCTACGAGGAGGACGCCGACGCGGAGGGGTGAGGACATTGTGGGTGGGAGGTAAGGTTGGGATCTTGAACTTTGGGATCTGGAAGTTTGTGATCTGGAAGTTTGACTCCAGCACAGCGAGGTTTTATCACATTGCACTCGGCAGGTCAGATGCCAACTCCCTGCACCTGATGTCTCTTGAGAAACCACTTCCCAGCAGCTGACATGCGTCTGGAGACCCGCTGCTGCTCTTTGGCACTCCACTAGAATTGCACAGGGCTTGGCGATCTCCTGGCAAATCTGCTCATAATCGCGCAAGTTCCGTTGCTTTTTGATAGTGGAGATGTGTTTCACATGGGCAGCACAGAGTCGAGAATCACCGTTGCAATGGTCCCAATTCAGGCATTCGCTCATAATGAGTCGTCTCGTGATCCATACCGATGGTTAAAAACACCCTTAGAAAGCAATTCGATCAAATATCTCCGATATCCCTATTAAACTAGTCGTGATATATCGGAATAAGCCGAACAAAAAAGATAAGAATTCCCACCTGAACCCGTTCCCCATAGGGCTTCGGCCTTCGGGATGACGCCGAATTTCTGTAGGGCTTTGGATTTTGGAATTTCTGTCTGATAATAGGAAATTATTTCATATCTATCTATATGTATGAGCCTGTATGAGTACATACGTATGTATATACAGTCAGTGATCATTAGTATTTGTACCCTAGTACATTAGCCCCACCTTTTTCTGCCGGTATTAACCCTGAATTCCTAACTATATACCTAGTAGCTAGTAGTAACTGGTTGAGTAAGAAGCAGAGAGAATGGGGGCAATAGTCTCAAGGATTAACCGCGCGTACTATGAGCTCTAGTCAGTTGGAGTGTAGAAGTGGAAATAGGCAGGCGGTATAGGAAGAACGGTCAAGGGTGGAAGTACCGGGGTACAAATATTAATGATACGCCACTGTATCTCTTCCCGAGTTAAAAATCGCCGACCCGCGACAGGGGTTCCCCGCAATATCAAAGCGCTCCCGGGACAATCGGCCCACACCCAAAGTCGGGGAAAGGCTTTACCCCAGTTTCGGGTTTCCCCCTTTGAGTTGGTGCGGAGTAGACCACTCCGTTGATTTTCATATACCATGTGCCTTGCTCTGATCGGACTACTGTGTTCCTGCGTCATCTATGCCCCAGACGGAGCACTGTATTCCTAAACGGCAGAGGGCAGTTCGATACTTGGCTTGGAAGGCATATATTATATAAAGCCTAGCTAACAGGGGTTACATCTCTTCTCATCGGCGCAGAAAACATTGGCATAACATGGCTACTATTGCAGATAGCTCCCCGAAGGGCGGTTTTGCGCTTGTCCTTCAAAATCCCTTTCTCTGTGGTGTAGCATCGGTAAGTGTCTGCTCTTGTATGACATGTGGTGTTCATTCACTCACCTTAAAACAGTTCTCAACCTTGGGTGGTCTGTTATTTGGCTATGATCAAGGTGTCATTAGCGGTGTTATCACCATGGAGTCCTTTGGAGCTCGATACCCTCGAGTCTTCTCTGAAAGTGGTTTCAAGGGTTGGTTTGTGTCAACGCTGTTGCTTGCAGCTTGGGCTGGCTCCTTGATGAATGGACCTATCACCGACCGAATTGGCCGGAAGATGTCCATCAATCTGGCTGTTGTGGTCTTCGTCATTGGTTCCATCATCCAATGTGCTGCTATGAACGTCTCAATGCTGTTCGCCGGTCGGGCTATTGCCGGCTTGGCTGTTGGTCAACTGACCATGGTGGTGCCTCTGTACATTTCTGAAGTTTCCATTCCAGAAATTCGCGGAGGACTGGTGGTTCTACAGCAATGTAAGTTGTTCTCGAGGTTGAAATATGGCTCGACTAATTTGCATTTAGTATCTGTCACTCTTGGGATCTTGTTCAGCTACTGGATCGACTATGGAACTAACTACATCGGCGGCACCAGATGCGCTCCTGATATCCCATACTCCGGTGGTACAATTTCAAAGCCCATCTTCGACCCTTACCATGATGTTCCTGCTGGTGGCTGTACTGGGCAGTCTGAGGTGTCATGGCGTCTCCCCCTCGCCCTGCAGATCGTTCCAGCCGTTATCCTCGGTATTGGAATGCTGTTCTTCCCAGACTCGCCCCGTTGGTTGTTGATGAAGGAGCGTGATGACGATTCGCTGCACGCGCTCTCAAGACTGCGCCGCCAGGATCGTGATAGTCCTATTCTCCTCAATGAGTACCTTGAAATCAAGGCCTCCATCATGTTGGAAAATTCCTTTGCGAGGGACAATTTCCCTAACCTCTCCGGGTATAAGTTGCACGTTGCTCAGGTGTGTTGCCAATTCCTTCCTTATGATTCGATTTCACCAACACGTTTTAAAAGTACAAGTCCTTCTTCACAACGTGGTCCCGCTTCAGGCGGTTGGCTATTGGCTGCATCGTGATGTTCTTCCAGCAGTTCATGGGTTGTAATGGTATGTTATGTCCCGACTACACAGTTATCCATCTATAGCAATATCTAATCCATGTAGCCATGATCTACTACGCACCTACAATCTTCGCCCAGCTAGGCCTGGATGGCAACACCACCTCCCTCCTTGCTACTGGTGTTTATGGCATCGTCAACTGCCTTAGCACCCTTCCCGCACTCTTCTTCATCGACAAAGTCGGTCGTCGACCTCTGCTCATGGCAGGTGCTGCGGGAACTTGCATCTCGCTGGTGATTGTGGGCGGCATCCTAGGTGGCTTTGGCTCCTCACTCGTGAGTAATAAATCCGCTGGTTGGGCTGGTATTGCCTTTATCTACATCTACGATATCAACTTCTCCTATTCCTTTGGTAAGATCATGCCTATGCCACTTCCTGCCTTCATTCTGAAGCGACCAACTAACAACACTTTCACAATAGCCCCTATCGGTTGGGTTCTCCCTTCAGAGATCTTCAATCTCTCGATTAGATCTAAGGCGATCTCTATCACAACCTCCGCAACGTGGATGTGCAACTTGTAAGTGATAGCGTTCTTAATCAGGCTATTCGATTCGATTCTGACAACTCTGCCTTGCAGCATCATTGGCCTTGTCACGCCTGATATGCTCGAGTCCATCACCTGGGGCACATACATTTTCTTTGCTGCCTTCTGTCTTCTTGCCTTTGCTTTCACCTTCTTCTGCATCCCCGAGACCCGTGGAAAGGTACGTTCCGCAACCCTCCGTTCCAGCGTGGACCGCATTGTCCGAAGTATTAACCATACCAACTATCTTTCGACAGACACTCGAAGATATGGATCTCATTTTCGGCGATACAGCTGCCCACGAAGAAAAGAAGCGCATCAAGCACATTGAAGCCGAGTTGCGTGGAACACCGATTGAAGAAGACGACTTCATCAAGCCGGTTGATTCCCATGTGGAACAGGCGTGAACGCCAACGCGCAGCGCAAAGAGCTTACGGCGCAAGGAACAAATATTACCGTACATAATAACTTATTCTTGACATAGGATGCCACGCACTGTGTATAAAATCCAACTGTCAAAATCATCCTTGAAGTATTCACTGGTACCTATTTGACTATTTCCGAAAAAGTCCTAATTCCCATTTTCCCATATACCCATCCTACAATGCAGATACATACGGAAACAAAAGAAAGAAAAATCAATAACAAAACCAGAACCATTCATTCCGCCGCCGGGAAATTCACCCATTCAGAAAAATCCATGCCCCCCGTATTGTGCATTTGCATTTGCTGCTCGACTGGAAACAGGCTTCCGCCGAATCCGGGATCACTGAAAAGTTGCCCCGGGAACGGCATCATGTTAGGCTGCAGTTGTGGGAACATGTTTTCGTGCTGCTGTTGGTGCTGGGGGTCGAGCTGGTCTCCGTCGGTTGGGATTCCCTGCGGTACTGGGTTCGTGGGTGGGCCGAGTAATCTGTTTATGACTTCGAAGCAGCGGGTTGCAAAGCGGTTTGTGCCGAGGGACGGGTGGGTTAGGAGGGATTTTGTGGTTTCGATGTCCTGGAGCCAGGAGGTGGCTTCTGGGTTTGAGGGGTCGGTCATTAGAAAGACTATGGGGATGAGGCCTGCTTGGAAGAGGAAGTAACTATTTTATTATGTTAGATGTCGCTGTCGTTCTGGTAGAAAGTAATACTGGGTGCGCGGGTATCAGGTATGGGGAAATAGGGAAATACATACAGCATATACCATGCCCCAAGTCTGGTGCACATATAGTTCGCCATGTACTCTGAGATGGATGAGATTGTCAGACGCGCGTTCTGGAGACAGCGCAATCGGCATTCCGTCTCGAAGGGGTCTTCAGACCCTGCATCGGGAGTGCCTGGACCGGTACCACTAAGTGGAGCCCAGCGTCTAGCGGCCCAGCGGAGTAGGATTGGTCTGTAGATCAAAATGGTGAGGTTCCAGTTTCGCCATAGCAGGCGGTTGCGCACGAGTGCGAGAGAGTCCGGGTCTGGATTGGCTGGCTGCATGGAGAGAGGCAGCTGCGGGTGTTTGAGGTACGGTGGAAGACCGTTGTACCATTCTTCGATGGGCTTTTGCAAGTTCAGCGTGTCTTCTGGGGTGAGACTGGGGCTTGAGATGAGGCGTTGGTAGACGCTATTGGTAAGGAGGTGGAAGCTGGCCTGGGCAATTAAGCCGGAGTAGATGGTCGGGCCGGGCGACTCAGCCGGCAGAGTTGTTGTTGTGGGAGTCAGGGCCTGTAACGTATTAGTTATAACTGCTTTCTTAATGTTTATTATCGGTTGAAGTACCTCTTCGTGGATATTCCGAACCTGCTTCGCATCCATGACACTATCCTCCGGGAGGAGGATCGGTCTTCCGAAGGTCTTGGCTGCGCCGCTGTCGAAGATGAAAACTCCCCACCACAATCTTCTGCGGATTTCTCTTTGTAGGAGACTGATTTTCCAGCCAGGGAACTCCTTGTGAAGACCCAAACTCATGGCCATTCGAACTGCTAAACCAAGATAATTCCATCCGGTGTTGGGCTTGTTTCGTTTCTGTGCATAGTTGCTCAGTAACAATAATCCTTGGACTAATGTCAGATTGCCAGTCTCAAATACAGATGCCTGCTGCAAGTATCCTCTGGCTTCCTGGTAGAATGTGATATCGAGGTCTGAGCTGTCATCACCGATACACCAGGCTCCAAGAGCTAAGATCGTGTTTAGGAGGATATGCCAGGCTGTACCATGCGGGCGTAGAGAAGGATCATTAAACTGCATCCGGAAGGTAGGCTCGTGGATAAATGGATAGCTGGTATGATAATTGAGGAAGAAAGCGTCGATAAACGCTTGTTCGATCAGGCCAGATGGGGCACTTTCCAGAAGCTGTGCTTTGAGAGGCACGCCTCCTGACCTTGCCGAACGAACAGGTATATTCAGGTCAAATCCATGATCAAAAAGTGCTCGTAATGGTACGACACTTGAAGACGCTCCTGTGATCTAGGTGTCAGTTTGGGAAATGAAAAGCATAATCCGTAATGGATATTCAATGGACTAACCAAAGTAGCCAGCTCCTTCGGGTTTAATAGACAGCGCAGCCATTCCGTCTGTCAAATCACCAAGCGTAATTTCTTTTTCGGCCCAATCAAAGCCATCGGCTTGCTGCGGGAGAGCTTCTGGTGCTGGCTCAGCCCTTTCTGGCTCATGCTTGGGGGTTGAGTGCCTTGAAGAGGACTTGGATGAAGGGGCCCTTGGGACCTCTGGGTTTTGTAAAAGAGAACGGAGTGTAGCATCCAGATCACCGCCTGGGAAAAGCCTTCCTAAGGCTGTTTCAAATGAGTGTAGGCGATCTTCAACATACGTTAAGTGTCTGACGTGGTCAGTCGGTCTTGTCCTCAAATACAAAAGTCTTCCGTTCTGGTCACTTACTGCCGAGTCAGAGGACTTCTGCTGACTTTTGGGCTGTATATACATTCTTTGTTCAGCTGTCGGCATTGCAGACAAACCGGTCGCTCTTTTGAGCACTATAATAGCCGGGTTAAATGGACCAAGGCCTGCAAGTGTTTAATACAAGAAGGCACTTACTCTTGACTTGCGCAAGCGGCATTCGTCGCACTATTTGAACGGTCAGACTTCAACTCTTGTGTTTTATAGCTCAGCGATCATGCTGGCCGATCAATACATACAGCAAATGAGTGAGAATCACGAGTGCTAGCCATCTTTATCGAGGCAAGTTAGATATCTTGTATCTTGTGTCAAATGCGCTTTGATCATGCCATACAACGGCAGTCATCTGTATAAACAGTTAGCCCATGCATTTGATATAATGAACAGAAAGTGCTTCGCGAAAAAGCCTCCACATCGGGTATCAATGTATAGCACACAAGCACGGTAGGGCTCGGGTGCGTATACACATAGCGGTGTGGAAGTGATCTTTAGAATGGAGAATGTACTCACGATCGGCACTACAGCATAGCCTCTTGCAATGCGATGGATAAGATGCACCCCCCCTCGATGGTATGGTGGGGAAAACGGTCAGGTGATGCGTGCAGAAAACTCATATTGATGCCTTAGGCATATATTGTCTGGATTTTTGGTCACAGCCGTGGTTGACAATTTTGTATGTTATTTCGAAGCTCGAATTGGCATTCTTTGTAGTTTGACTCTTATTAACTGCATCGGTCAATATCTCTGGTGTATGATGTGGACATTGAACGGGGTAGTATACGACAGGAACTATATATATTGCTTGCACACATCGTTCTGAGAACCTCCAAGCGAGACGTTTTTAGTAGAAAGTAGCTGCAAAGTCAAATTCTAAACTAGTTATTGTATTATCTCTATACAAAAGGGAAAATAAACCGAGAAATAGCAAGAGGACTCAAATCCCATTGAATATCATCTCGATATCCTAATGTCTTGGCATGGCTGGATACCTGAGGGGCCAATCACAAGCCGCAGACATTTTTTCTCGACATCATCTCCACGACTTGATCAACAGCAACACTTCCAAACAAAGACTCAATAATTGGAAAAGAAAGATTGAAATTCGACGCAATATATCTTTAACTCGACAGGAATAAAGGATATCATCGATATCTAATCGAGGCGCAACCATGCCCTCTCAACCCCCACTACCGCCCCTGCTCGCTTCATATGTATCAAATCTGCCCGATTCATCTCTGACACTAGTCTCTTCTATCCTTGGTGCAACTTCAAACTGGTTGATCTTGAGATTTCTTTATGCTACGCTGAGCTCACCGAGCCCTAACGCGGCATTTGGCTCCGACGAGCTGCACAATGGTATCAAGAAGAAAGTGGTGCTGGTGAGCTTCATGCGGAGTTATGAGTTCTGGAGGACAGAGGCAAAGCGATTGGTAAGTCTAACCAACAGGCTGACTGGTATTCGAATTTGGAACATGGATTTGCGTTCCATTTCTTATATTATTCATGTGTTGATACATATCGACATCATTAACCAGGTTTATAGGGCCTTGACCTTGCGCGTCTGGCAGATAAGCAACAATTTGCATTCATAGATGGCCTTTCTGAGCTGTTCTACGCACCGCAGCCCACAGCCACTCCTCCCGGTAACTTACCGGCTGGTCTGGGAAGCAATCCACGCACCACGCTCCCAATGCGGTCTCCACCTGGTGCTGTACCTGGAAGGTCACCACAGCCGGCGGGGCCAACAGCCACCGGAGCAAGAGGAAATGTGACGCCGAAGCAGGCCGAACCTGGGATTGTAAAAAAGCTCCATTTCTCTGGCCGTGGTCTCGCCTCCCTCGACGCACTGGAGAAAGATATCTCATCAGCGATTGAGAACCAAAAGAGTTCAATGGAAGATGGTGATGGGATTCTCCTCATTGTAGACCAGCCTGACCTGCTACTTGCCGCGACAGGTCCAAGTATGGGGATTGGAGCAACAGAGATGTCGGAGTGGATCACAGGGCTACAACAGGTAATGCCTTATCATCCCTGATAGGAAAAATCAAGGTTTACGGCAGGGCTGACTATTTGTTGGACAGCATGCACATGCTACGGTTTTGACGTTAGCTACGGATGCCCCATTAATACACAATGCATCCACGTCGGGAGTGCAGTTGGCTACGCCAATAGAGACAGAACATGCGGCACTTGTTATTGGGCTGGCGCATCGGGCTCGGTCGGTCATGCAGCTCCGCACTTTGGACACTGGAGCCGCAAAGGATGTGAGCGGGGTACTGAGAATCAGCCGAGGTGGTGGCCTGAACGCGAGTGAAGAAGAGAGCCTGGAGGAGAGAGAGGCCTTGTACTTCATTCAACGGGATGGCGGTGTCAAGGTGTTTGGTCGTGGGGAATCATGAGGCGAGACTGTATACTATGGGTTAGACGTTCGAAAGCCACGAGCCTATCAGAAACAGCCATTGAATCATGTCCAATCCAAGCCTCTGCGTCTTGTCCACCAAAGAGCTTCGTACTGAGTAGAACAGACCATGAAATGGTAGGAAGAGTCTTCACATTGTATCTGTCATGACATGGGATATCCGCCAGCCATAAACGAAGAAAAAGGAAATCCATTCACGCTTTCCCAGAGATTTTTAATCCAGCTCTTTTCCGTAGAGAAGAGCCCCTCAACGAAACTTTTCTCATCGTCTCGCAAGTTCTACTTTGTCATCCTTGGCGTGGCAAAGAGAACCAACGTGATCGATAGTTGTACACACCACCAACTCCACGGGAAAGCGATAAGAGTCCGGAACTGCCATTGCATTTCGAGTAATGCTATCCCGTAATGCTAATTCATATCATGCCAGGATCCCTCCCCTCATTCCTATTCCAGCCTCTCCGATAACGAAAACGCGACGCCGAGCGGACGAAAAAGGGAATCTAGTTGGTCACGGGGCCACGGGCACCCTTGGGGGTACCGGTCTGGAAGCCGTTCTGGAAGCGGCGGTGGACATCGCGCAGGGAGCGCATGCGGCCGGAGCCGGTGGTCTTGCGGCGCTTAGCCTTCTCACCCCAGTTGACTGTTCGTAAGAAAAATCCATGTAAGCCAGGGTTCTCGAACTGGCGCCAAAATTCCAAATAATGGCCACCATTCATATCACCAACGCTATCGGGAGGGGTATTTGCGTACACTTGCGGGTCTTGGCAGCAGGGTAGCCGCAGTTGGCACAAGTCGACTTCTGGATGTGGAAAGACCGCTTGCCTGTAGAGTCGTAGATATCACCGGTTAGCCCTTGTCCTTGCTAGGTTGCGTGGTTGTCTTCGCCGTAATCGCCAATTCCGTCATTCGATGTAGAAATTTGCGACTGCGGGTCGGATGGGTGGGATCGTGCAAAATAGGTGTAATACGTACCACAACGACGGCACAGAGTGTGCGTCTTGTTGTGGCGCTTTCCGAAGCTCGAGGTACCCTTAGCTGTGGCGGTCGTTAGTTTGAAGTTATTCGACGCTGCGGAGGATCGCGGTGCGATGTTTCGGCATCAGACGTACTCATCTTGAATTATGGAACTGTGGACGAGGATATATGTTAGTTAATTGACGGGTTGAATTGAGCACTGGTGAAGGGACCGGCATGCGGACGTACCTGGCAATTCCGTTGAAGGGGCTGGTTGTCGGGTCGTCGTCGCTAAGCGTCTCGAAACTTGCCCAAGATCTGGCGATTGTGCTCTAAGCGAGTGCGTTAGTCAATCACGTGTATCCATCAGGGCTTGTCTGGATCCCGTGACCGAATAGCCCTCATTGCAGTTAGATGGTCTGTGCACATGCATGTCAAATCACGTGACTCCAGTTCATCTTGGAAGGTCAACCAATTACAGAGTTGTAGATATCCATCGAGTCGTACATGTATTTATTCTATTTCTTTGATATGCATATTATGTTGAGGTGGGGTTCTACAACTACACAAAACAGGAATATAAAACACAAATTATTTGGCTGTGCATTTGTCCACTGTTTAAACAGCATATCAAGAGGGTATTTTAGTACATCCGAACGCCTATGCAAGTATATGGAGAACATCATCAGAATGAATCTTTCCCTATGAAGTTCGCCATAGGATCCTCGGCAGCCAACCGGCTCCGCTTGTATGATTCAAATTCCTCCTCCGTGACACCTGACTTCAATTCTTCCAACGTCCGCTTCTTACCATTGGTATTTGAATCCTGCTCTTGACCCCTGCCGGTGGCTTGTTCAGACTCGTGAGAGAGATTCGCATTTTCAGCATTCTCAGAAACGTCGTCGGCTGCCCCGGTCATCAGCAACATATTGCCTTCTTCCTCAAAGGCCTTCTTTCCATCTTCCCCTGTACAGTAGCTGTTCTTCACAGTGGAATAACAGCATGCATATCCCCATTTGAATTGGTACCACCAGCTGCCGAAGACCGAAGCATGATTGTTGACCATAACATCTTCGGGGTATTTGGATTTGGTTGCGTTCTTGGGCGCGCCCTTGATGGCACCGCTCTCATCATATTCAACGAATCGCTCGTTCTCAACGACCATCGTCTCTCGCAGCGCACTTGGTTTCGTGTGCTCTACACCACCATATTTTTCCATGAGAGCCTTGCGATGCGCCTCACGCTTAGCTTCACTATCGACCATCTCCTTTTTTCGGAGGACTTCTCCAGACGTCGGATTGGCTTGGATATGTATTTGAGCGAGACCCTTCTCTTGTGACTCCCATGCATATTTCTGGGCTTTCTCGAACTCCGCAGCATCGCCCGAAGCACGGACAAAATTCTCTTCTGCGACAAGTGCAGCGGCCTGATCATCCTGCGCGCCCATGTCCACCATTCGGCGTGTCTTCGGGTCGTATTTGGCGGAATCAAGGTCCAAGTTGAGCAGGTATTTGGCGGTGTCTTCTCGAATACGTAGGTTGCGGGTGGCAGTACTCTGTTGTCGTCCCATATCGGATTCTTCGGCGTACCGGATATCCGAATCGGGGGCTTCATCGCCGTCTTCACCGGCCTGAAGTTTCTTGAGATCTGAATTATCCTTCGCCATTCGCTTGATGGCCTCCATTTCTTCATATTCCTCGACCACCTGGCGATATTCGGTAGCATCGTAGCCGTTCCACCGATCTCTTTTGGCGTCCCACCCCATATCGACCTTCTGGAGAAGTTCGTCTGCCTGAATATCTTTTCCAGTCCATCTGGCGCCATGCTTTCGGGGTCGACTCAGACACTCTTTGGTCTTGTGTGTCATCGCGCCGCAGTTTTCACATGCGCCTTTGCGGTATTTGGTGGCTGCTGGGCCCGCACGCTTTCCTCGATCATACCATTTTGACTGATCAGGAGTGGCTTTCTGGAGACGTTGATGCTCCAGGTAGTCGTTGTTTGTCTCATCGTCGACGTAGAACGGTTTTTTCGAGATGAAGGATGGAATGTACTCGTTGGGCGTTTTTGACGCCACATCTGCGGGTTTTCGTGACATGACTGGTACGTTTAATGGGGGACGGGTGAGTTTCGATTAGGGAAAAAAAGGGGAAAAAAGGGAAAAAGGGGAAGGAAGTGAGGAAGTGGATCGAGCAACCTGTAGCTCTCTCCTGTTGTGAGATGAAAGATGAGTGAAGTTGAAGTTGCGATAGCCCGGGCTTGGCGGGTGGAGAATTGATATGGAACCACGTGACTAAGCGTCATCTCGCGTTGTCTGGACATACCTCGGTCGCGTTTTCTCAAGTATTCTTACTGAGATGCCAAAAAGGACACACATGCGATAATCGGTGCGTGTACCATTTATCCTCCGCAATGTTGCTGTGGCTTCTTGTCGCCACCCACCAGAGCGATGGAGCCGTTCCGTGTGCGTCTCAACTGTATCGATCATTACCAGGCGACCGCGTCGGAGTTGGATCCGCCACTACCTTTTCGTTGTGAGGTCTCAGAGAAGCATTTTAAGCCCAAGGTGCCTGTGATTCGAATATTTGGAGCCACCGAGACAGGCCAGAGAGTTTGCGTACATGTCCATGGCGCATTTCCATACCTTTACATCGAATACAACGGGTCCTTGGCACCAGAAGATGGTTAGTGATAGTCATTGATGAACTGATGGGTTGACTTACCAAAATTGTAGTAAACTCGGCAATCCGGACTCTCCATCTTTCGATCGATCACGCTCTGGCCGTTAGCTTTAGCCGAAATGCATATGACCGGAGGACAGCATTTGTGGCACACATCACCTTGGTGAAAGGAGTCCCGTTCTACGGATACCATGTGGGATGGCGGTTCTTCTTCAAAATTTACCTCTTAAACCCCTTCCATACAACTCGCCTGGTCGATCTTCTGCACCAGGGAGCTGTGATGAAACGCCCGCTTCAACCCTACGAGGCACATGTGCAATACATCCCGCAATGGATGTATGACTACAATTTGTACGGATGTGCAATCATGAACTGTAGTCAGGTCAAGTTCCGAGCACCGGTACCCGAGTATTTCGAGCTCAGCAATCTAGCCCATCGCTGGCACGATCGTTCTATCCTACCGGAGAGCATACTCGATCACCCTGCATTACAGAAACAAAGCAATTGCGCGCTGGAGGTTGATATCTGTGTTCAAGATATCCTGAACCGCCTTGAAGTAAAGGAACGGCCTTTACACCATGATTTCACCGAGCTTTTGAAACCTGTTGCGGTTAACGAGCGGCTCGTTCCTAGCGTCGCTGGACTGTGGCAGGATGAAACTCGCAGACGCAAAAAGAGGATGGGTATCACTGATCCCGGAAGCACTCCGTTTGGACCTGAGGAATTGGTTTCAATGTCTGCAGATCCAAGAGATCAGTCGAAAGGTGGTTGGATACATGAGGAAGAATTTCGTGAGATGGCATCCCAGCTAGCTGCCAATGAGAAACAGGCGGATGGTAACAAAGATACGACATTTCAGACATTCTTGGATACCGATGACCAAGCCAAAAATGTGAAGACTGCGTTGGATAGTGTTGAGGACTTCTTTCCTGACAAGATTAGTACTTTGACTTTTGATAGCAGCCGTTCCCAGGAATCAGCCGAGCAAGAGTTGCCGGAGATCTCGGTTGATGAGGGTCTCGCTTTGTCCTCTGAAACTGACGGACAGTATTACTTGGATTCTGACCAAGGAGGGGGCTCATTGGAAGGGCAAACTGAACAGGAGCCTGTAACAAAACAGGACCCGCTGGGGGACAGCTTCTACGATGAGGTCTTTGACGAAATGCCCTTTCCTGAGGTGGCTGCACCTGGAGAGCCCGCTGAAACCAACCACCTAGAAGCGACCATGGATGGTGCCTACAAGGAAGGAGATTCTGTAGCCCAAGAAAAAAGGCCCAGAGACCAGAGTCAGAACAGAAGTGTAGCCCCGAAAAGACAACACTTCGAAACCCTCGATTGCCACCATTCGCCTACCAAAAGAGCTAGACATATGGCCAGACCCGGCTTGTCTGACGGGCAATTGGAACCACCGAACACGCGGAAGCATCAGCAAGACGACAAACAAAAAAGTGTCTCCTTTGATAGCAAGTCGGATTTGCACGCGGAAACCTCATCAGAACCAAAATCATCTTCTTCGCAGAGGACAGTCCGTCCAAAAGCGCATAGTTACACCAGCGGCCTCAAATTCCCGGTAGTTAAGGATCCCAATAATCCTCTGACCATTTTGCGTTACAGCCAAGATGAGGCAGATTCTTCAAGAAAAGACACGGAGTCATCGCAGCCCCTCTTGAGTTCTTTCCCTTCCGGATCTGCCGCGGAATTGTCAGGCAAAACTAGTGAAACTCAGAGTTCCTCAGAGCTATATTCGTCTGCAACAGTGATGGGTCCAGTCTCTCTCGATCCACATCTGGCCGAGATCATGAAAAACATTCATCAGTCATTCAATTTTACACCCAATGCGTCATTGCGTTGCTTCAAATGTGCCAGCCCAACGGCCAGCGAAGTCAGTTCATCAATAAATGAATATGGGCGTCCCTCGGTTGTATATCAGAGAGCGTTTTACAGTGATGAAACGGATGTGCCTGAACGACCAAGAGAATACGGCAGCAGAGAATTCCGGCTAGAGAGCAACACCATCCATTATCTACCCGATTTTGACCCAACGGCAGAGACTCCTGCAATGTTTGGTGAGCAGATACCGACAACACATGACCGAGACCAGCAAGAAAAGGTTGACCAACAACTCCGTGAATGGTGTACCGCCAGGGTCTGGGAGTTTGCTGCTGTTCCGCCAAGCCGGTCAGAAGTAATACAGTGGTTTGAAGAGCTAGAAGCCTCGCAAGAGTCTAACCAAAAAGCCGCCCAAACCGTACCTGCTGGAACGAAATCCAAATTTCTCTCTCAGATTGAGGGCCCAACACAGAAGAACGCACATGGCTTCAAATACTCACAGAATGGAGTTTTTACCAGCGTCGAACACCAAGCTCAACACATGAGCACAATGAGCTTGGAAGTGCATGTGAACACGCGTGGAACGCTCATGCCCAACCCAGAGGAGGACGAGATCACTTCCTTGTTCTGGTGCATCCAATCCGAAGACGAGGATATTGAGGTCAATAGTCACCTTCCCGGAGTTCATGTTGGGATGGTATACCACGGCGAAGGCGAAAGGCCGGAAACCAAAATCTCCAAGGCATTGACAATTGACGTTGAGTGTGAGCCTACGGAACTGGATCTGATAAACCGACTCATAGACATCG